TAAAGATTAAATTTTAAACGTGGAATTAATAAAGTGCAACAATTGAATTAATTGGTTAATTTAATCTATAAGATATATAAAAAATATATAATTCTACAAGGAATGTTTCTTGTTTTGACAACAACAACAAAAACATAACAACAAAACAATCGAACTAACTGGTAGCAGGCCTTCCAATTACGAAACTGTATTTCGCGGAGTAACATCCCAAACCATGTGTGCGCCCCGACTACACCAGCTGGCGAGTAAGGTATGTTGAGTCCATTGCAAGTTGTAAACCAATCAGAATGCTGGGATATTACATCATTCGGGGCAACTTGCTGATGTTCTCTGGCGATTAATACTGAAGTTTCGAAGTTGGAAGGCGTACCAGTTTTTTTTGTTTTTTTTAAATAATTCTCAATAAAAACAACCATTGAACAAGAAAATAAAACTATAGATCGTTATGTAGGTATAAGGTACTTTGCTGAAGTTGTACAGGCCCAGGCCTAATGTTCTAGGCTACATTATAACCTAAATAAGAAGTGTCGCCGGCCGACTGTGTGATGCCAATTTTTCGGGCTTAAAACAAAGCCTAAATGTCCTTTGACAAGTGGGGAGCTAGAATCTCAAACTCTGTTTAGGTTGAAATTATTATGTGTAAATTGATTTAGAGTTATCTCATAAAAAAAAAATTCAATTTTTAAAAATCTCTTCTCTTTTTCTTTCATGTCTTCTTTCTTGCATAATAATCCATGGGGACAGTGTAGGTGTGGGTGGGTGGGGGTTTGTTAGGAAATATAAAGAATAAAATATTGCGCAGGACTTATTATCTTAGGGGATGCGAAAAGGATGGGAAAATATGTGCTACTAAAAAAATTACTTGTGCTACCAAATTTTGTTGGGGGGTGCCAGAAAATTTTGGCAGTGCTACCAAGAAAAAAAAGTTAATTTCAAGCCCTGACCTGTGTACCATTCACTCAGATATACTACTACTAGCTCATGTACTACACAATACAACATTTAGCAATAATGAAATTAACTACAATAATTATAACATATTATGTCTAATTGTATGAAATTTAGTATTTTATAAAAGTTTAGTTCACAAATGTAGTTAAATGTAAATGTAGTTAAGCCCAACCTCATAACTTTGCCTATACCAATCCATTTTGTTTAGGTTGAAGTGGTAACAGAAAGGTAATTCAGTTATATATTAATATTATGGCCTCATTGTCGGGGGAGGAGGAGGGACACCGCGGGGAGGGTTTACAGGCGTTGGTAAACCAGGTAGTCCCCGCTGTTTTGGCGCATTTGGGCATCGCCACGCCCAAGGCTGAGTCTCCAGACCATCGTTGGTCTACGTTCGAGAAGACGCAACCTCTTCGTATCGTCACTTCTTGTCCGGTGGTCCCGTTGGACCCAGCTCTCCTTGCACGCCTGGAGGCCCGGGCTAAGGAGTTGGCGCCGCGTTTGTCTGCAGCCTTCCTGGCGCCGGAGGCTCAATATTGATATGTAATTATTTTTAAGTCTTAAGCTTTAAAATGACCTCAATATTTAGTATTCATGTATAATACCATTGCATACAATGTTTATTTCCCAAGCAAACACTTACTCATTGTTCGTAAACAAATTACAATTCATAACATTGAATATTATGCCATATTGATTGCTGTTTTTGCTGGTTTTTCAAAATAAACAGATGTTTAGTTGTAAAAATACTACACTTAATATTTTTGACATGAACCATTTTAAAGATCATAGAGGATTTTTAAAAACTACAGTAAGGCTACTGCAGTCTATAGAAGTCTAATTAGGAAGACAATTTTAGTGTTACATTTAATCGTGATTGAAGCATTTATTTTTTTAATAATGAAAAAAGATTTTTTTTTTGTGAAAAAAAGTAAAAAACTCTTTGTGTATTGTGTGTTATAAATACTATTTTTGATGGAACCAGGAAATATACCATCAACCTAGCATTATGATATGTGGGAAAATTCTAAATAAAAAACAGCAAATGATATACTGTGTAACCAGAGTATAATTGTTATTTGGCATTTATATAGCACCTTTCCTTTAGGTTAGGCAAGACTTTTTTATACCTTGTTTGGTGATTTCCACACGTTGACATGAAACAATGGAAATTTCAGGGGAAAAAAATAAAAGTTTTGAAATCTTCTGAAATCTCCTGAAATAGAAGATATGTATATTTCTTCCTAATTATATAAATTTAAAGAATTTAATCATCCCAGTACTACATTGTTAACGTTCACCAATATAATTTTATTTCTATTTTCTCCTCTTTCTGGATGTTTTTGGCAAAACTATGTGCTAAATAAGAAAACAAAATTTTAGTTTTATGTTTTTTCTGCCCCCCTCTGATCTTTAAAAAATGAAGTTCACAAACCAAGGTATAAAAAAAGGCTCGCACTTTTTTCCCTGATATATCTAAAGGAATCTTGACTTAAATTTTATGATTGGCCTCCAGCTGTTTTACTATGTATATGTATTATATTATTTATACCCTATAATTTATGCATAATAATGCAAGTTCCTAGTGATACAGTAAGAGTATGCTGATTAAATTTGACCTGGGATTCATCCAGGCTTATTGATATGTGGCCAAGTTGGCAACCAGTGTTCAATTTCAATCATGAAAAGATTACTTTTGGCTCATTTTACAATTGCTTATTCGTTCCAAAGATCGTTGGGAAATTGTTATGAAATCTCTGCAAAAATAGGTGAAATTATCTATACAGATACAGATATGAAAGGTGTGATAATATCCACATAAGAAATTTCTGTTCAGAATTTTTTGTTTTGTTAAGTAGCTATTTTGACATCATACAGTACAATTACTAGTAGAATGTAGATGATATATGGTACTGAACTGTATTTGGTATGTGTGATAATATTGAACAGTCAATATTTATTTTATTTATATTTTATTTAGTGACTTTTTCAAAATTATTTCATTATGAGCTTTCAAATGAAACTTAGATCACTAATTGAAAATTCATCTGCAT